CTCTCTCTCTCTCTCTCTCTCTCTCTCTCTCTCTCTCTCTCTCTCTCTCTCTCACACACACACACACACACACACACACACACAGCCTCTCTGAGCCCCATGGCTCAGAACTGTGCCCAGTCCCTGCTAAGGAGCAAGAAGTGGAGGCTGCCTGCCACTCCCTTCTGCCAGGACTCTACAAAGAACTCATTGTGCTCAACCTAATGCAAAGCACCTGCCTGGGGACGGTTATTCGGTTATTCGGGCACAGACACTATTGGTAAAGAAGCAAACATTTCCAGTTGATAAAAATGCCTGTTGAACCCAGGCCTAGCCCGGGATGTGTAGGTCTCTGGAGCCCCCGTCCTGCTTGGGACAAAAAGAAAAAAACGTTCTAGTGTGTTATCTCTTAGTCCAGCAGGGTGAGCAGCTTCTCCTCATCAGAGTTGAGGAGGGGAGGGGGAGAGGACCCAGAGTGGGTGTTCATCTCTTGGATAACCACTGAGGCCCCAGGTGGGCCCAGCTCCACGCTCTGCAAGAAACAACTCAGTTTCGACTGGACCCTTCACTTCCCACAGGTTCAAAACTTCCCAAGCTAGCAGTCAGCTGAAGGAGGCACCCGCTCCTTAGCGCCTCCTACTTGTTGACTTAACCTCAGAGTCTGCAAGACCAGTTTTGACAGATTTTCCCCCGATTTTCCATAGAAACTGGAAAACAGGATCTTCATGTGAAATCTTTTTCACGTTTAAATACAGAGTTATATCTTAAAAACAACCCTGCCCCAAATGTGAACGCCTTTAGACTACGTCTGTTTTAGAATCACTGAGGACAGTGGCTCAGAGTAAGGTATCTAGAAAGCCTAACTAAGAAAGGTGTCTGACCTACACCTTGCATGCTGTGTGACATTGGTTACCTACCTAACCTGCCTGTGTCTTTCTTCCTCATGGATGAAATGGGCATGACAAAGGCACACTATACACCTAGAGGAGAGAAGGAGCTAGTGTGTAGCTTCATAACTGCAAGCTAGTATCTTTCGGGGATACCTGGTCCACTCTCCCAGGAGTCTTTTTGACAGCATCGTTGACAGGGGAGCATTCAATCAATCCTTGAGCTCTTTCTGTGACAGGAGGCTCACGGCCTCGTAGAGAATTCCAGTGACTGTAGTTGGAGCGCGAACCCCACATCTCATGCCATTGTGCGTGCCCCCAGCAGTCAACAGATGCCCTCCCAGAATCCTCTGCAGGGTTTCTGCCTTCAGCAATTGACTTATATCACACTTGTACCTTCTATTGACCAGAGTCCCCCATTGTCCCTTGTCCATAGATGCACCCCAACTTATAACAAGTCCCATGATGAACTGCTTTAGGATGGGTATCTTCGAAACAATGACGTGGTGCATATAGTTTGGGGGGAAATAATTTTGGGGACATAGAAGTGAAAGAAAAGGAAGATGAGAGAAAAGCCAAGGCGTGTATGTGTGAGTTGCAGGTGAATGAGATTACTATAGTTCCACACTGTTGATAGGAATGGAGAATTAGAAAATCATTTGCCACATTTATTTTTAAAGTTAAGCATGCATTTACCATACAGTCACTAGAAACCTACTCAAGAAACTAAAAATGCATTCCCCCTAAAGATTTATATGTTAATATTTGTGGTGGCTGATTCATAACAGTCAACACCTGGAACCAACCCAAACTAACACTGACAGATGGAGATGCATGGTTTAGTAAAGCCATGTAAGAGAACTCTCCACACAGTAGCTACTTGAGCTGTGGAAAGTGAAGATTGTAGTTTTAATGTTAGGTATAAAAGGCAATTACACTCACATGTGTTGACTGTTCTGTGTTGCTGTTTAGGTACCTGTAATAGTTTTGTCAACTTTGATATAAAGTAGAATCACCTTGGGAGAAAGTGTCAATAAGGAGACTGTCAAAGTCAAGTTGGCCTGTGGTCATGTCTATGATGGGTTATATTGATCATGTTGGTTAATGGAATACTCTGCCCACTGTGGGTGGCACCATCCCCTTGGTTTGGGTCCTTGGCTGTTTAAGAATGAAGAAGGTGAGATGAGTCTCATGCATGTACTTCATTCTCTCCCTGCTTTTTGACTGTGGCTTTGAGTAGCTGTTAGGAGTCTCTGCCTTGACTGTCCCAAAATGATGGTCTATAACCTAGAGTTTTTTAGTTAAATAAACCCTTTCTCTATTAAAGTTGATTAATCACAGCAACTGCAAGCAAAACTAAAACCATGCTAAATTCATCACTTTGTATTTAATATTCATTTCTGGTCAGTTGCGTTCTTCTGTAGCATGGGCATCTGGACTGGAACCTACTCTTCCCCAGATTCTCTTTCAGTCTATTGACTCCTGGGCCAGACAGGCATGTGTGCTTAGGTCTATCATGAAGAATCTCAGCTTCTGTGCCATATCTGAACCCACCAGCTCCTTCTGTCTCTGGTCAAGGGCTGAGGGGTGGAGCAAAAGACCTCCCCCTAACACAGCCAAGTGCAGAATATTCCCAATACCTGCTTAACCATGCACGTGGTCAAGCCATCCCCTAATGCAGCCCTACTGTGTAAAGCAAGCTCAGATCTCACTAAGAAACCTCTGTGGGCTCCCACATCCTAGCCCACAGAAGGCCAAGGCAGGAGGACTGCATGTCCTAGGCCAGCCTGGGATACACTGCAAGACCCTATCTAGAAATAAGAGTAGATTAAAATAAATAAATAAATAAAATTGCCAGTCTTAAAACCTGCAACCTTAAGGCTTCTTGAAGAATTCCCCCAGGCCAGGCTGATCACACCCTCTGGGTCTTTCTTTTTTCAGGGAACCTGCTCCCTGCTGGTGCAATTTTGAGATCCACCAGCTGCCTTATCATTTTGTACCCTTTCCATCCATTTCGGTTTGGTGGCGTTTTTGCAGAAATGATTTCCTCAAATACCTTGTGGGTTTCCCATGAATTTCCCCTTACATGAAAGCTGTGTTCGCAGCTCTTTTTGAGTCGAGCCCTTCTTTATCTATGTGGGTTCCTCCTGAGGGGTTGAAGGACATTTCCATTGAGCTTCCAAATGACGTCATCACTAGACAGAGACTGTGGACTTCATTTATCCTTTGTGTCTTGGGAAGGCTTGCACGTGCCTGACATCTTTGCAGTTTTAACAAAACTTGTTCAATCTCCATTGGAGATTTTTCCCCCTTCCATTTGAATTCCTTGCTCAAACATAATTTCTTTTTTTAAGTTTCCATTATTTTATTTGGTTGTTTTGAGACATAGCCTTGGCTGTCCTGGAACTCATTCTGTAGACCAGGTTGGCCTCAGACTCACAGAACTCTGCCTGCCTCTGCCTCCTAAGTGCTGAGATTAAAGGCGTGCACCCTCATGCACTTTATTTTTATTTTAATTGTTTGTGTGTAGACCTATGTATGTGAGTTAGGTGCCCACAGGAGCAGGTCTCCTGGAGCTGGGCTTAGAGGATGTTCTGAGCCAAGGGAAGCAGATACTGGGACCCCAACTCTGATCCTCTGTAAAAGCAGCACATGCTCTTAACCATGGAGCCATCTCACCAGCGCCCCAGGGAAAGTTCTTAATT